AAGATGATATGGGCTCAGAACAGTCTCATAATACACACATGCACACAGAAGGATTCACACTTGTATCTCATGATCCGCAAAAGGATGCACACTTGTATATCCGGATCCACACTTGTGTTTTTCAATGCACACACAAATGTGTTCCGTTTCATATACATGTAAATAAAATCCATATACAGAAAAAAGTTTTACATATGTATTTTTGATCCTCACATATTTGTTTTCCGTTTAAAACCTCTGAACCTGCAAACACAAACCGCTTTCTGTGCACGGATCGCTGTGCATTCGTGTGTGGGTTTTTTGAGACTCCCCTGACGGTCAGCCGATTCATACTTGTAATTTGTTCTATCTATAGCCAATCAGATGTCTCCTTCATTCTAAGCCAATCACTTGAGCGCGCCCCCACGAGGGTAGATTTCTTGCATTCATGACGTAGCGCTTCATGTACGCATTTTCCGCAGTCGGGAGCTGACAGGTCCATGGAGCCTGCCTGCAGGCGCTAATGTCAGGACACTCCACTCTCAGTACAGCGCCACTTTCCGAACAGGAAATGCACGCAAATACAAGCCTAAAGTTATATTATTAAGGTACAGCGCCACTTTCCGAACCATTGATGAATGCTTGTGTACACAAAAACGCCAGGCAAAACCGTTTTAAATGTGTGTTTCCTGTATGGCGAATACAGCTGCTTTATTTATGTCTGCATGAAGTTGTTGTGAGTGTGGAGGGAGCAGCTACAGGTTAGCTTAGCCTAATCGATCAGTGCACTACGAAGCCAGTGCTAGACAGTGAACTGTCAACGGGGGGGGGAGGAGCCCCGCCGGTCATTATCGGACGATATTCACTCTTAATAGTTTGATCGGTGCTCTCTATAAAGGCCGATCAGGAGAGCTGGATCTGATCGATATGGACATAAACGCGAGTGAAGTATAACCGGACGCGAGAGAGAGATCAGATCAGCTGCTGGGTCTGACGGAGACACGCAGCTCTGCATGATCACCTGAAGCTCCGCCCTCTGTTTAGCGAGCTGAATACGCAAAATGCGTATATGAAGTGTCATGAACGCAATAAATCATACCCTCGTGGGGGCGCGCTCATGTGATTGGCTTAGAATGAAGGAGACATCTGATTGGCTATAGATAGAAAACATTACAAGTACGAATCGGGTGAGCGTCAGGGGAGTCTCAAAAAACCCACACACGAATGCACAGCGATCCGTGCACAGAAAGCGGTTTGTGTTTGCAGGTTCAGAGGTTTTAAACGGAAAACAAATATGTGAGGATCAAAAATACATATGTAAAACTTTTTTCTGTATTTGGATTTTATTTACATTTGTGTGTGCATTGAAAAACACAAGTGTGGATCCGGAAATACAAGTGTGAATCCTTACCATGAAATACAAGTGTGAATCCTTCTGTGTGCATGTGTGTATTATGAGACTGTTTTGAGCCCATAAGATTACATTGAATTTTTATTTTGAAGATGTACAAATCTAAATCGGAATCAAACTAATGTAGAGCCGATGAATGGGAGTCGGAGGCGGTGTGTTCAGTATGGAACTCCACACTTTATTATCAAAGAACATTCAGACAAGTTAAGACATTAGCTTATTACTTGTTGTGAAGCTAGCATGAATGAACCTAGCTTCCGGTGCCCTCTCTAACGGGTCCGTGTTGCAACACAATAACCAGAGGTGAATTATGTCCCATCACGTGACACCACACAAGCCCCCCCAGAATTCATATGTAAAGAAAGTCTGTGCAGCGGGGAGGAACGACGCGCCGACCCCCACGACTCCTGAGCACGGGAGCCGGAGAAGCGACATCCGCCTGCACGGCCCCCGGAAGAGGAGGGACCGGAACAACAGGTCCTAAATCCGTGACAGGAGTCACAGCCGGGGGGCGTCCCCGTCGCGGAGGTCGAGCCAGCACCACCGGCTGGTCTAAGTCCAGGTGAGCAGCCTTCACCCGGTCCACCGAGACGTGCTCGGCCTTGCCACCCAGGTCGACCACCAGGTGCTTGTCCCTGTGCTCCAAGACCCGGAAAGGCCCATCGTAAGGGGGCTGCAGGGGGCCTCTGTGCGCATCGTGCCGGATGAACACGTGCCCCGCCGAGCGGAGCTCTGCGGGAACCCAGGACACCTGAGTACCGTGCTGAGTAGTAGGGATCGGAGCAAAGGCCTCAGCGGCGTCCTGCAGGAAAGCCCTCTGGGCCGACGCCGACCAGGGAGCCGATGCGTTAGGGAGGAAATCCCCAGGAACCCTCAGCGGCTGACCGTATACCATCTCAGCCGTAGAGCACTGCAGGTCTTCTTTAGGCGCAGTCCTCAGGCCCAGCATCACCCAGGGCAGCTTGTCGACCCAATTCCCGTCCGTAAGGCCGGCCTTGAGGGCCGCCTTCATGGAGCGATGGAACCGCTCACAGAGGCCGTTAGCCTGAGGGTGATAAGCGGTAGTCCTGTGCAGCTTAACCCCCAGACCACTCGCCACGGCGTTCCAGAGCTCGGACGTGAACTGTGAGCCTCTGTCCGAGGAAATGTCTGACGGGGTGCCAAAACAACACACCCACGTCGCAATGAAAGCTCGGGCAATGTCTGCGGCTGAGACATTGAGAGGAACCGCCTCCGGCCAACGGGTCGTCCTGTCCACCATGGTGAGGAGGTAGGAAAAACCTTGAGAGGAGGGCAATGGATGGGATCTTCCCCCCCTAGCAGATTTAGCATGTTCTCCATTAGCTGAGATGGCTTGCTGTCTCCTAGGCCTTGAATGTCAAGTAACTGGCGGGCCCTCTCCTTAGCAGATAAGCTAAATGTCTTAAGGAGGAGGGCCTTAATCGCCTCATATTTGCCATGGTGTGGGGGGTCTGTGATAAAACCAACCAACCTGGACGACGTGGAGCCTCCTAGCGCTGCTACAACGTGGTAGTACTTCAGGTCCCCGTCACGGACCTGCCGGCAGGCGAAGTGCGCCTCCACGTGTGCAAACCACGCCGCCGCGGCATTCTCCCAAAACTCCGGCAGCTTTACAAAAACATCGCGCTCAGCCATGTTCGTTAATTTTCCGGAAACCTTCTCGGAAAAGTCGGGGTCACCAGTGTAGAGCCGATGAATGGGAGTCGGAGGCGGTGTGTTCAGTATGGAACTCCACACTTTATTATCAAAGAACATTCAGACAGGTTAAGACATTAGCTTATTACTTGTTGTGAAGCTAGCATGAATGAACCTAGCTTCCGGTGCCCTCTCTAACGGGTCCGTGTTGCAACACAATAACCAGAGGTGAATTATGTCCCATCACGTGGCACCACACTAACAACACGTGTCAATTCATGTATCCATTCACTTACAAAATCGGTTTAAACTTAAGTGTGATTTGTAATTTCAGGGACTGTGGTAAAAACCAAGACACTTATTGCTTTAATTAAAGATGGAAAAGGACGACCTATTCTGCAAAAAACGCAATGCTGCCAAAGAAGCATGGGAGTGAGTTATGCACTCAATTCATATTTTGTGCAATGAAAGTAATGAATGTGCACTGTGGGTCATTGCCTTAACACCAATATATATTGTTTAAATATTCTATGATAACAGGTCAATCATTAAGGAACTGGACCTTGGGCAACATGTGTCTCACAAACAGGCCTCCAAGAAATGGGAGAACCTAAAAAAGAAATACAAGGTAAATGGTGTATTGTTATTGTAAAACATTTGTTTGTTTTTTAAAAAGCTGAACAAAGATTTCTAACATGCATTTGTTTGCAATAGGAACTTAAAAGGCCAATGACTGGAACAGGGACTGATCAGGGGGAAGAAACCCCTGCAACATGGCCCTTCTTCATGGCCATGGATGAGGCCATAGGTGCAAGGCCTTCAATTAGTCCTCCTGTCCTTGTTGCCTCAGCCTTGGCAAACCCCACAATCCTCTTTGATCCGGAGGCTGCTTCCTGCTCCTCTCCCCCCCCAAATGTGGCTGATGATCCAGACCCCTCACCACCCTCATCACTGTCTGAGGCTGGAACCACCCAGCAGCGCCCCCCCCCAAAAAAAGAAAACGTGCTAAGGGACTGGGAGTGCTGGAGTGCCTAGAAAGCGAGGCAGAAAAAGAGGACGAACGCCACAGAGAAATAATGCAGCACTCAGATACATTTCTAACCCTGTTCGAAAAAATGGTCGACAAAATGTGATTTATTTTTTCCCCCCCACCATTGGCCATTTATATGTTGATTATTGATGTTACTTGTAAAAAGTTGTTTTTGTTCGCTTGTATTATTTATTTGGAAGACAATAAACCTAATTTAACGTACTATCCTTCATGTCTTCAATATTGTATGGGATATAGTAAATACAGGTAGACGGGTGATGAGGGTGACATTGCTTTTGCTTGATTGTTAGATGGCTACATTGTTCTGTGTGGGTTTCATAATAGAAGGAAAAGTTTTGCACAAAGTAATGTTGTGCATGGAACAAAAGTGTTTTTTCCAAAGTCTGAAGATTAACCCTGCATATCAGCATTTTAAATAAAGATATGCGTGTGCGCTTCATAGGTATAAGGCATTAAAATATACATGCCATTTACGGCCTTAATTGCTCATGTCAAACCATTTGCAGAGTTGCACTCAAAAACAAAAGTGATTGTATTAGAAGACCTGTGTTCATTTTCTGAACCTTTGCTCTGTGCTCGTGATTGAATGATCCAAGATTTGTCTCCAATTTGGGATTATGCAGAAAGACAATTGAGGAAAACCAAGTTTGAAATCAACGGTGCACAGGTTTTTTTTATTTCACCTCTTTTCTCTAAAGTGAGAAGTGGAGCTCGCTAACAAACAAAATTAAGTCAGGTATGTGTGCACATAATTAAAAAAAACACAAGTTAACAGACAACCACGTTTTGCCAAAAAAACCCACAAAAAACCACAAAAAAACAAAGTTCATTCGATGTAATCGTGCTCTCTCAGGTGTGGTGCAATTTGGACAGGAGCAGAGAGTTGTGCAGCAATCCTGTCCCTTAGGTGGTGTCCAGGACTTTCCTGTCCACATGCTGCGGCAGGGGGAGGATTCTGGTCCCAGGGGGGAAGGCTTCAGCATCCTCAAGGACATCGTTCAGGTCTATGCACAGAAATGCACAACATGCAATTATGTCAGGGGCAAAGCTTGGACTGACCTCCAGCGCTTTGAAAAGGGTGGCCCTCCAGCGAGCCTTCATCCTTCCAAATGCTCTTTCCACCACAGACCGAGCCCTGGCATGATGCGCGTTGAATCTGGCCTGCACCTGGCCGCGAGGGACCTTGTAGGGTGTGCGTAATCCCACTGTTTTTTCCAGGCAGGGATAACCACCGTCCCCAAGGAGGAACCAACCAGCTGGGGGAAACAGTGCCTGGCAGAAGATGGGGCTGTTTCGTAGTACTCTGGCATCATGAACGGAGCCTGGATAGCCGATGAAGACATCCAGGAATCTCCCAGTTGAGTCACAGATGGCCTGCATCTGGATGGAAGGAAACGTCGGGTTACATATTGTAACCCTTGTTATATTAGCACAGGCGGAGCCCTCTCCTGGACCCTATGGGTACTACCTTATCTTGCAAGCATTCACCTACTGAGCTCTGTCCAAGAAACGCCTGGCAGGCTGGCTTTGCGAAGGCATTGCACACGTCTACGAGCAGGCAGGGAGAGCCTGTCCCACCGGGGTCCGTGCGCACTCCACACGAGCTGTGGCTGCATCAACAGCCTTATTCAACGGTGCGAGTGTGGAGGATATATGCATGGCGGCGTCTTGGTCAACGCCAGGCCCCTTCATAAAGTGTTATCTCTTGGATATGTCTGGCTCTTTCTCAACGTCTGTGCTTGCTGGGGCAACACAGGACTGGTGAGGAGGGGGGGGGGGCTGTTGGTCAGTGGGCATCTGACCCTCTCCCCGGGCGTAAAATGCCCTTACGTTTCTCCGGACCCCTGGAGGGTCGCGGGGGACGTGGGGTGCTCTGGGCCCTTTTCAGGGCTGGAGGGCTCCCCTCGCCTGCCTGGGGGCAGGAGGGGGAGAGCCCTCCATACTATAGTCCCTACACACTCTCAGGGTCAGTGTTTGAGTGTGGGGACATAGGGGGCACTTGCATTCTCCCCGTGCTCTTTAGGGACTCAGGAGGGAGAGTGCATAGTGAACCCATACAGGGCTGGGGTTTTTTCCCTGTCTGCCTATAGGTGGACGTAGGGGAGCCCTCAGCACTGTTTTTTTCTAGCACACTTTTTTTTCGCGAGGCAAGCGCGTCAGGGTGTGCTCTATCGGCCGCAGCCCAGACTTCTCCACGGTTACAACCGAGGGAGAAGTGAGTGAGGCGCAGTGGCTGCTAAAGCCGGTCAGGGACAGTGAGGTGGAACGGTGTGCTGGACGACAGTGCGTGCATACATCGGGGCTCCGCCCACTGTACGCATAGAGTCCAGTAGAGGGCGGAGCCTGTGAGAGATATAACGTTGGGTTACGTATTGTAACCCTTGTTATATTAGCACAGGAGGAGCCCTCTACCTTGGGGCACTGTCTGTCCTATACCGCTCGCTGAAGAGTGGTGTAGGATGGTGGTCAGGAGGCGAGGCCTCCTTTTATACGGAAGTGAGATGCGCACGCATTCAGGTAGGCCCGCCCCGGGGCCGGCTACGTCCATAGAAATCTCAGTAGGTGAATGCTTGCATGATAAGGTAGTACCCATAGAGTCCAGTAGAGGGCGGAGCCTGTGAGAGATATAACAGCTTGTAGTTGATGTACTCCTTGTGGTACTCGTTTCCTGGAGGTTTGATGTGAATATGGCATCCATCAATCGCACCAGCAGCACGGTGAAATGCAGGACTCTTTGCAAGCTGACAGAAGCCATCTGCAATCTCTGGCAGCTCATCTGAGGTTGGCAGGGAAATGAGGATCTTCAGGTTGGCCTTTATCTTCCCGGTGACGTGTTTGATGATCCTGTGGACCGTCGATTTGGGAATCCCGAATGCTGAACCCACCACAGAGAGCGATAGTCCATGGGCCAAGCTGTAGAGGAGAACAAGCACCTCGATGTCTTGTCCCCATCCGTGGTCCTTTGGGGAGGAAAGCATCTGCACTAAATAAACCACACTAGAGCGCTTAACTCTAAAGTCCTTCTTTAGACAGGCTTCAGGGTTGGCATACAAGGTGAGAATTGGGGCAGTAGCATTGAGCTGCATGTAAAGACCTTTGCCCCCCTGTAAAAGACAAACACAGGACACAGTATTGTTAAATAACTATACTCCATCACACACACACACACACACACACACAAATACTTTATTTGGTTCCACAAATTATATTACATAAGACAGGGAATCAAATATATTGGAGCTAAGCAGCACAGAACACTTAGGGGAACACATAGCATCTCCCTTTCCACATGGCTAAGCTGCAGCCTTAAGGGAACACATAGCATCTCCTTCTCCACACGGCTAAGCTGCCAATAATAGCTGAAACAGAGCAATATTTGGCAATTTGTTTGGCCTTTCTCTTTGACATTCCAGCAATTCTCAGACCAATCATGGTGCATTTATATACATGGCCAAGACTTCCGAATATAAGTATGCTATATCTACACTTGTACCCAAAGCTGGTTATCACATTGAGCAGTGGTTGGTATTTAATATACTTGTCCTGGAAAGCCTGGTCCATGTACAGGTCAAAGGCACAGCCTACTTCTAATATTAGCACCTCCCTGTGGTTGGTGTCAACAAAAACCACATCAGGTGTATTTGGGATGTTAGCAAAGACATCATTGGTAAAACCAAACCATTCTGGTAGCACTCTAGTGTGCTTGTACATTGCTGCGCTAGATGGTAAGATGTTTTGTACCGCATCAGACACAATGTCCACAATACGGTCATGACGGGCTATGTACAGGCGTTTGTATGCATTACATCCATTTGTTATGTGTGCAATGGATTCTAGGTGTTGTTGTGAATCCTGATGGTTTAAACAGAATGGAGTGTGAATGTGAGGGTACCAGGTGGACAGATTGTACTTGGGTAATACCTGCAGTCTTGCTTTGATGGTAAATGTCAGAACATCCTCACCAACAGCGGCATTCTTAAACACTGAGTGTGAGACTGAGTGGTCAGCAAACCCCAAACAGGCTAGCTTTCCCTGTAGTCCGAGTCCATACCAGTGCTGCCTGATCTCAGACTGCTTCGTGCTGAGCAGAACCCTCCTTGCAGAGTCTCTGTGCAGTTCCACAGTCTCTTCCTGAGGTTTTGTGATGTCGGCCTTCACAACCACACTGGGGTCAGCGATCAGTTCATCAGAGACGGGGACTTCAGTCTGTGTGTTGAGTCTTGTCCATTTCAGCTGGACTCCAGTCCGATTGCAGAGGTCATTGAGATCTGGCCAGTCAGACCAGACCCCGAAGCCCCTGGCCTGAGAGTCCAGTTTCCCAGAGTCTTTCCTTCTGAAGCCAAGGAAGTTGTTCTGGTCTGCGCTGGCCAGGGGGATCTTCCTTCTTTGTAGATCCAGCAGGAGAGAGGCCCTGGCCATTTCTCTTACGGTGACATCATCATTGTTAAGCATGTGGATCAGGTGGGCTAGCCTGGTGGCTATGTAGGTCCACTCGACATTGGGGACTCCCAGCCCCCCCTCTCCACATGGGAGAAAGATGATGCACCGTGTGGAGTGTGTGTTGAGGCCCACCCACTTTCTGACCAGCTGGACAGTTTTGTTTGTCATTTCTCTCAGTGCCTTGAGAGGGATGTGTACATTGGCAAAGAGATGTTGAATTTTAGCCAAAGCCACCTCTCTCACAGCCTGGAACTTCATGAAGACGGGGAGGGGGGACAAGTCAATCAGGTGGAGACGATGGAGAAACTCTGTAGTGAGCTCCTCGACCTGCTCCCCCCACTCGCCAGCGATGTTAAACCTGTGGCCAAGGTATGGGTAGGTCTCATTACGGGAATACACCTTAATGGGTTGGCCCATTACAAGAAAGGAGGGGGGCTTGTCGTTCTTGGCCTTATACCAGCGGTTGCCTCCACTGCGGCGCTCATGGAGTACGGCACACTTAGCTTGCTTCACCTCCAGCCCTGACCATTGGAGGAACTCATCAGTGCGCGCCAGCATGTTAATGATGACATCCTCTTGTCGTGATGACACCTGCACGTCGTCAGCGTATCCCTGAACAGGATTTGGGGATTTGACATGCAGCGGAGCGCACTGGTAAATCCACTTCATCCATTGGTTGAGTGCTAGGATGAAGTTCACGGCACTCCAGGGACAGACAGTTTTTATTCCCACCTTCAGTGCAATCGGCTCTGTGAGCTGCTGCCCACAGATAACCTGGAGAAATGAACCTTGGTACACATTGGATACAATATTCACAAAAGGCTGAGGCAGGTGTATTTCCTCTAATGCTTGTAGCATCACCTCATGGGAGAGTGTACCAAACACGTCTCTAAAGTCCAAAAACACTGTAGAATTTAGATGATCCATGTTTGAAATCATCCATTCCGGTTTTTAAGCAAAACACATGTTCGTTCATTCCCTGTCTGTTGATATATGCTTTCTGATGGGGGGAGAGAATCCCTGTGTCCACCAGCCAGAGTAAGATGCGGGTGAGTAGGCACTTCATAAAGACTTTGTATACTGTGGGCAATAGTGAAATGTCACGCCAAGTGGAAGGCTCATCTGGGACATTTTCCTTTTTTGGTATCCTGTGAATGAGGGCCCCTTTCCATGAAGCAGGCACCTTCTCATTGATCAGGCAGGCATTGAAGATGTGTGTGAGTGTCTGTGTTGACGTGGGTCTGGTAGCTCTCAGCGTCTCATAGATGACCCCATCAGATCCACTAGCCTTGTTATTAGGAAGAGAAGCCAGAACTGCATCCACCTCCTCTGTTGTAAAATCCTGGGTATCTGGGAAATAACCTGGCTCTATTCTGTCAATGAAATGGTACCAAGGGGGCGTGGCCAGGGGAGTAGCCCTCGGCACAGTTTGACATTTGGCTTTATAGTAGTCATACACATTGGCTGTATCACTAACAGTGGGCGGGGTTTCCGGAAAACAGCTGTTATTTAAAATGATATGGATTGCCTTTGATTTGCGGTGTTGCCAGAGATATGCCAGCTTGTTCCTGGAAACTTTCCTTTGCTGCCGTTGTGTCTCTGTCCCGGCGGCCCGCAGCGCTGGTTGTATTCTCTCACGGATGAAGCGAAGCTGCATTTCTATCCAAGGTGTCAGCGAGTCAGCTGTAAGGTCCACCGGGAAGTTGGCAGAAAGAGGGAATTTCTTCAGGATTCTGGCGACATATTTCAGAAGCTGGAATCCGTAGGGACGCGAGTTTCGTTGCGTCGCGGAGAATATTCCATTAATGAAAAAAGCGCTGGTCAGGATTGTCACCAGTCTGCCCCACTTCTCTGCGCCTCCGAGAGTAACAGCAAAGTTAGATCTTACCTGGAGCAGTTTTGTGTCCAGTGTCCCCCTGTACGCTCTTTCATCTCTCTGGAAAGTAGTCCACTCACAATCTGACAATAATCGCACATATTGCTCGAAGTCTACACGAACATCTCCGGCCGGTGTTGGGCTTGGGTCGCAGACGTTCAGGCGTTGTTTGTAGACCCGCCCGCTGTTCAGGGCTTGTTTAAAGGCCAATCTCAGCGTGGTAACGAGACACATTGTGTACCAAAAGCGTCCAGTGCATCTTATATCCGCACTGCAATAACGATGGCAGTTACAACGGGTGTATGTGAGCTTAGATGTTAAAAAAGGTGAGCGAGTTCCTCTCACCACTCATGCATGGCCGCCATGACACACACACACACACACACACACACACACACACACACACACACACACACACACACACACACACACACACACACACACACACACACACACAGCTCTGTAAACAATTCTGAGACCACTGCAGCATTATCTGTTTCTCTGGATTTACTATTTTTGTGTGTGAGTCAAATTAACCTTTCCTTTTCCTACTGCTGACAACATTTCTCTGTGTTGGAATTCTACAGACACTACAGATATACACGTATAGCTTATAAGGAAAGAATAGATGAATGTATATCAAAATATATATTTGTATTACACACACAAAGTTCATAGGCTACTATATAAGAAATAAAGTTAAGATAATTGTTGTATTAGCAATATTGAAATGTTTACCTACCACTGGCACATCGCTAAAATGCGCCTCAACCTTCTGCGCCTTCTGTTGGATCTTGCCATTGCACCCTCTAACAGGCGACGGATAGCAACGCAGGTCAATGCAGCCGAGAGATGTTGGTTGGACCATGACGTCCGTGTCCGTTTCCTGCGGAGAGAGGGGAGGCCGTCCCAAAGCTTGCCGCTGTATTTACACCCTTAACCCTTAATGGAGGGAACTTCATTCAGCTGCGAGTGTGCCTACAGACGGAGTTCACACCGTCACGGAGGAGTAGGGTCGAGGGAGTGGTTTGTGATTGGGCCTAAGTGCTTTGACACTCTGTGGACACTCTGTGGAAGCTGTCGTACTGTAAAAAGCACAACCAATCATTTTAGCCGGCCCAGCTAAAATAACTGGATGGCCTATCTGTCTGTCAGCCTTCTATAGATGAGAGTAACAAATGCGTCACTTCCGGGCAAAAATAACGGCTCCGCTCACTTTTGGGGGAAAACAACGCTGTCAGTTGAACGGCGGTCAATACAAATTCTGAAGTTTTTGCCAATCCGATCAGAAATTTAAGAAAACCAGAGATTTTTGGATCTTCAAAGAGCCCGATTCCAATGGCCAGACGGGCAAACAATTGCATTAAGCCATTAGAAATCGACGATCGGGCTCGATATATGGTTAAATATAGCAGTAGGCTATCGATTTTCATAGATGAGAGTAACATCTACGTCACTTTACGGCCCCGCCCACTTTTGGGGGAAACAACGCTGTCATTTGAACGGCGATCGAGCCTGAAGCCACAGAGCTCTTCTTTTACTGTCCTTTCTTCTTAGAGGAAGTACAGAAACACTGAACTCTTGATTATTTTTAATGTTTGAGGTGCAATAAACGACACAGCAGCTTTTTGGCATGTTAAAACTATTATGTTCCGCCTCGCTCATGAGAGTAACAGCTGGAGAAATTACAGCCTCGCCTACTGATTTTAATTTAACCATATATCAAGACCGATTGTCGATTACCAATGATCGAATGTAATTGTTTGCCTGACTGGCCATCGTAATCGGGCTCTTTGAAGATCCTAAAATCCACGGTTTTCCCAAAAATTTGATCGGATTGGCAAAAACTTCAGAATTTGTATTGACCGCCATTCAAATGACAGCGTTGTTTTCCCCCAAAAGTGGGCGGGGCCGTAATTTTTGCCCGGAAGTGACGTTGGTGTTACTCTCATCTATCTGTGCACAAACGTATCTCGTGCCCTCATTGGTCATGTGCGCGTTCGTGTGTGTTGGAGGAGGGGCTCTGTAAGGAAGTGGCAGATTTTTCCCAGTTGTGTATTTCCAAATTCGAGCGCACTCGAGCCGGTTTCTCCAAAATGTTGTATTGGTAATACTCTCTTACAGTTTGGCTAATCTGCGTCACAAATACACTTTTTGGGAGGGGCAGTATAAGAACTGTATGTGTTTAAATCTGGGATTTTTCATCAGCCTTTATATTTATTTCAGATTTCAAATCCTAACTGTGTGGCACAAACAACAATTTCAATTTATTTCTAAACAAACCATGTTGTTCCGTTTAGACAATCATGACAGTATAGTAAAAAAGCAAGACACATGTTCATCCAACCCTTTTATTGTTTTTCGAAACTGGCGAACAATTTGTTATGCTGGACATCAACTAGTTCTTTGCAAAACGTTTCATAGTCCTTTGTTTGATTACACTGTATAACTGTATGAATGTTTTTGCTTGAATAAACAAATAAAGAAGACCAAATAATTAACATTACGAAATATTAGCAAGCAAGTAGTGGCATTTGTGGCAGATGCCGGAAGTACCTGCCACAGATGCCACGGAGTAGTGGCATCTCTGGCAGACGCCAGAAGTAGTGGCATCTGCAAATACGGGTTTAAACAGCAGCATTTGTCACGGAAGGCGAGTAGCAGCTACCGTAAACCTTCTCTTACTCTGGCATCTCGTGGCAACTCCCGTTCAGCAGCGGCAGATGCATCTGCAAGTAGTGGCATCTGTGGCAGATGCCGGAACTTGCCACTTCCTGCACATGCCACGAAATGTGCTTGCCCTCTCTCTAATGTTGTCATGGTACCAATGTGTCAGGGCTCAAAGTTCCTCTCTGTAGGCTGTCAGGCTTGTTCTACACAGCCAACTGGATGATGGTTATGGACAGGGGCGGACTCAGGCAGTCTGAGGGGCTGGGGCAGTACAAAATAAGAGGCCCCAGCTACCTGTGGTGGGCCACCAGAGTGCAGGGAGAAGGTCTGGCATATAAAAGCCACTTTATAGTGTGTCACTTTCTTCAATATAAGAGCTCATTCAGGCCTTTTCTTTTGCGTGTTTTTCAAACTGGCTTTGGTATTTTTGGACTTCACCATGTAGGTGTGACTACAGACTGGAGCACGACAAGTTTAAAATGTTTGAAAACATCTGTCAGTTGATGTACAGACTTCCTGCAGCTGTGCCAGGGAGGCCCTAGATCTGTCTTGCTTGCGCTAAATAATTGAGGACTGCAGGAATAATTATTCATATTTATTTTTTCTGTGCACTTTGTGCACTGTGTGTTTTGCTTGTAATTTCATCAGAGCTCTGAGTGGACTTGAATATTGATAATCTTGAAGCATGACTTTCCCACAGGTTTTCTTTTCTTTTAATTACATCACTTTTCCCATTTTCTTTCTCATCCACAGTCCATTTTTGTTGCACTTGACTTGGCCATGCGCATTAGTTAACGGCAACCATTCCCTATGTAACAGGCAGAGATCACCACCAGGTTAATGCAGGCGGCTCAGATTTATACATTTAATTTAACATTTTGGAGACTAGCTTGACATTTTCAAGTTCTTCCAAGGGTCAATCCGGGTCGAGTAAATATGCTATAAATGAATGGAGTGAGGTAGATTGGAAATAAACGATGTCTTCCTAGGTCTATTGTCCTCGTTATTAAGAAAATAATATACAATTACAAATACAATACCTTTATTTGGAATTAAAGTCAGCCTAATTCAATTATGAACAACCACTAAACTGTAAGGGGCCCAAGGCCAATGAAACCTGAACACCTTATTGAAGTGAATCATCTGCAAATAAGGGTGTCCGAGGGTGTCCGTGTCACAGTGCCAGCTCAGTCCCAGCGTTGACTCATGTGCACCAACCTTGTCATGTGACAGCCAAAGCTCCAGCTTTTCCGATCGTGCCTCTGGTGGGAGATGGCTGATGACCTCCGGCCTGTTGCAAGCCCATTGACGGAGGTCAAATCCTCCTGATGCCAGAAGCTCTCGTAGCTTGTTGACTAACTGCTGGGCCTCACCGACTGAAGGAACGCTTTGCAGGCAGTTATCCACGTAAAAGCAACATTCGATTGAAAATCTTACGTCTTCTCCAGGTTCACTGTGCAGCATGACATGTTGGTTAAGAGCAAATGAGGCACAACACGGACTGCACGTGGTCCCAAAGGGAAGTACTTGCCACTCGTAGATGTCAGGTGGTTCTTCTCTCCTCATGTCCCGCCACAGGAACCTCAGGAGGGGTTTGTCTTCAGGCAGGAGACGGACCTGATGAAACATCCCCTTGATGTCTCCACTGATAGCGACTGTGTGTTCCCTGAAGCGCAGCAGCACACCAACAATGGAGGCGCTCAAGGCAGGACCAGGTAGAAGAGACTCGTTGAGGTTAAGTCCCTTGTAGCGGAAGGAGCAGTTGAACACTATTCTATTCTTCCCATTGTGATGGACCATGTGATGTGGTATGAACCAACCTTCCTTGCTCTGAGAGACAGCTTTGGCTGGTAGTTTTACTACAGCACCGGAGGTTACAAGTTTCTGGATTTCTGCGTTGTAGGTAGCTGCCTTTTCTGGGTCTTTAGCCAGGCGTTTCTCTTTACTCCTGAGGCTTGGCATTACTGCTTCCTTGGATGCCTGGAGTAGTGGTGCTTCCTTTCTCCTTAGCATAGGTGTTGCATACCTAAGCACTCCATTCACGTTTAGTCGCTTTGTCTTAGCCTCCAGTAGGTTAACGGCTTCCTGGTCTTCCTTAGACCTGGTCACTTCCTTCACACTTGCAGTCGAGTTGCAGCGCAACGTGGAGAAGTGTGGCAAGTTGACACCCTGCCTTACAGGTCTGAACCTGTAAGGCAGGGTGTCAACTTGCCACAGCTTCTCCACGTTGCGCTGCAACTCGACTGCAAGTGGGCTGAGGGATGTAAAAAGGCATTGGTGAGGCTGTATCTGGGACTGAAGAATATGTGCCGGCCCTTGAAGTGTCCATCCAAGCCGTGTATGGATTGCAGAGCTGGACCTCCAGGTGGTCCGAAACGCACAGGTTCCACTGGGCTTATGAGGTGATGTGGTATGAACCAACCTTCCTTGCTCTGAGAGACAGCTTTGGCTGGTAGTTTTACTACAGCACCGGAGGTTACAAGTTTCTGGATTTCTGCGTTGTAGGCAGCTGCCTTTTCTGGGTCTTTAGCCAGGCGTTTCTCTTTACTCCTGAGGCTTGGCATTACTGCTTCCTTGGATGCCTGGAGTAGTGGTGCTTCCTTTCTCCTTAGCATAGGTGTTGCATACCTAAGCACTCCATTCACGTTTAGTCGCTTTGTCTTAGCCTCCAGTAGGTTAACGGCT